ATATATATATATATATATATATATATATATATATATATATACACATACATACACACACATATATATATATATATATATTCAATAAAATATTTATGCAAAGATAATTTCAATAAATTCAGCTTTCATTCCCTACAAATGATTTATTTCTTATTTTCATTCATTTTAAAAGATTTTATTCAAATCTATCCTTCTAAGTTACAGACTAAGAAGGATAGATCTAAAAATATAGATGTATGTATTTCCTGTTTGAATTTATTTCCAACTTTTCTTTTAAACTTTCCTGTCTCTGTTTTTACATTCCTGTTGGCCAAAACTGTAACTGGCAAGTGGAAAAGTTCCACTAACACAACTAAGCAAAGCACCCCCTCCTCTAAAGACCTCCTACACCAAGGCGTTCCCAAACCAGCCAAGAGATAATATCTAGCCAGTGCGTCCCGGGTCTGTCCCCAGGCTAACCCCCCTGCCCATGGATATCCAGAAGACATCCAGATGTTGGAACAACCTCAGATGGCTCCTTTTATTCTTTCTCTGCTCTCAGCTTCCTGCTGTCCTTAAAATAATAAGCCAAAAATCGTTAATATGAGGCTTATTTTAATGTTTGCCATTTACAGTTTTATCCTCCACTCTTTTTTTTTTTTAAGGATGCCAGACTCGCACATAAAGGATGCTTGTAATCATATTTTTTAAATATCTATATCTAGCTTCTTTTTATTGCTGCAAACAATACAAAGTAACTCATAAAATGGGAAAAATGCCAAACATATTCACACAATTGTCTTAATCAAAGCCTTGTAAATCTTTACCAAATCAACCTGAACCCCTAACTCTAAACTCTGATCTCTGTTTTGTTGCTGATTGTATGAATGTGGCATTTAATTACTTATCTTTAACCACCATATAATTCACAGTTTCTGAATATATGTTACAATCAAAGCAATGACTTTATAACTTCAGCCCCTGAAATGGAGCCTTTCATTAGAAATCGAAGTCTAGAAGTTAGGTTTAAACCCACTCGTTTTATCATAATGCATCAACTCCTGCTTTAAGGATGCTTAATTAAGGTTTTACTTTAAATCCTGCACCATCCATCCTGAATCCCAGACAAGCCCAAATTTTCCACAAAATCAGCCAGTTGAGGAATGCATTCGTCTGTAAATAACTCCTGATATCATTATGACAGAGCAGCAGCTGGAAGGGCAAAAATGTTCTGAGGCAGAAACCACTTTGAGTCACTTTCTTCATCTAACTGGCTGAAAATGACACAGATGGTTCATAGTCTGCTGTTTTTAAACTCTGACATAAACCTGTCTGTGATTGTAAATAGACATATGAGCCACTGGTCTGAACCATTATCAAAAAAATTCAAAATTCCTGCAGTTTTTCTTCAAAAATAAGATCTAATTTCCAGTAAATTACATCTATTATTCCATATCTTACAAAAAATAGGTGTGAAATATATGTTAATGTGTTGTAAACAAGTTCACTAAGAAGCAGAAAGTAAAATAATTTGGTGACCATTTTATGCTTTAGAACAGACTGGATTGGTTTAACCTGAGAGGACAGAAGAAAATACGAAGAAAACAAGATCATTCATTTAATATCAGTGCTTTGCCTCTTTAAAAAGGAAAGCATTTAAATGTGACAGATTATGCCCTTTTTGTCAATCTGATATCATTTTCGAGGTTATTGAATGACAGGCTTGAGACAAAATACATCCTCAGCCTTTATTCTCAAAATGAGGAATAATTTTGAGTTTAAACCAACTCTTTTCACTCTAAATAAAGCTTCAACATCAATAAATTCTCTCAGTTATGAGCGTCACACTCAAAGGCAATGCTTACTAGATTTCAATACTTTGGCAGCCTTTTGAAAATGTAGCAGATATTAATTTAGGCCTGACTATCATGGTTTTGTTTGCTTTATTTCTTATTTGCACAAACCTTTGGATGGGGTTATCAGCTGTTTCCAGCTATGTTTATAATTTTGTCATTGGCTTGAATCATACTATCTGTCTCACGTCCTGAGCCCGATGCACATATTTAGAATGTGAAAATGCTATAAATAAAAAAGGTTCTATAAATGAACTGCATTATGCCATATATTGTAAAAAATAAGTGTAAAATGTGTTATTGGAATGCGTTGTAAACAGGTTCACTAACCAGGAGAAACTAAACAAAAAACAGACCTAAAGTAGACAGAAGATGAGTACTGAATGGGAATACAACACCAAAAACTTGCTTTTTATTAACATATTTAAGCTTGTAATATAAGCTTGTGATGTTGTGGTATTGTTATGCAGTCTTGAGACATTTTTCTATTTTTCATCATTCCTGTGGGTACCTGAAACCCAGCTCATTCGTTTTTTATGTTAATTTTTAGTTCATTAGCACTCGTTAATGTCTATGAAACTCTGTTTGACTGGTTTTAAAGTTACCTTTGATAAACTCCGCGGTCCCCAGCAGTTCACAGTCCTCCGCCATCCTGAACAGGGCAGACAGGACTGGGGAGTGCCTCACGCCCTCCACCGTCATGGGTCCGACTAATTCCTGGGCTGCCGAACCTCGGCCGCTTGGCTTCGGAAACTTTTTAAACTGTTAGCACCTCGGTTAGCCGTTAGCTGGCTAGCAACCATCAGCACAGAAAAGTGCTTAAAACAGTTTAAAACTTCCCGCTCGGGTCCGCATTGGTCCATGCATTGTTTCCTCACTTATTCTGGGGTATTTTTGCCATTTTCCCAGCCTTGTTTTCCCCTTTTTGACGGCCTAATAGTCCCCAGTTAGCATCTTAGCATGTACAACCCGCGGAGGCTTGTCGACACTCCGAGACTGAAGCCCTGATTGAGCAAATCCCTCTTTAAGACACTTTACCGTGACCGTGACAACCAGAGCCGCTCTCAAGGCAGCAACAGCCAATCACAAAACAGAACACCCCGTGTTGCCTTCGAGGTCCGCTGAGAAACACCAAACAGGTGATGCTTTCAGGTACAAAAGGGGGTTGGACCCGAAATTTATCAGATTAATCGAAATTAAAAACAACGGGGAGGATTAGATCAAATGGTAAACTAGTTTAAAACACGTTTAAGCACGTTTTTACATAACAATTTTAAACGTAATATCAGAAATGACCATGCATATTTTAAATGTCTTGAATAAATGTTTATTAAGTTTTAATTATCAACCTATACAGACAAGAAGCTCAAATTAAACAAAAAGAAAAGTAAACATTTTTGTTGTATAACACAGTATAGCAGCATTTCTGTATACGGAATCAAGAGAGAACCACTCTTGCCACTGTTAACTTAAAGTAATATGATTTATATGGGTATTTATTGTTACTGCAAAACATACCTGAAGTTTACCCTGTTTCCATTTACTGAAAGGTTTAATTTCATGACTAAATCTTTCCAGAAGCTGTAATATTTTTAAGTAAGAACTTTCCCCTTAAAATATATGGTTTTGACTTATCTTTTTTATCTTGTGTGACAATGGTGACAATATTAATGTCAAAAGATATATATATATATTAGACTGTAAAACCTGCTTTCTGACATGATAAGTCTATATTCGGTTTTAATTATTTTATATAACCATTATGATGGTCTGGAAAATTTTGAACTCGAGCTCCATTTTGTCCACTTAAAGTTTGTTTGGTTCTGAGTTGTTCAAGTTGTAATATCGCTGAAAATTCATAACAGCTTGTTTAGAGTCTCCAGAGCAACAAATGAATCAGATCTGACGCATCACATTTGTTAAAAGGTGAAACTGAAGACTGGACTTTCCATTAATGGATTGTCATCAGACAAAACGTTAGACTTAAAAGAATTAGCATCTTCTTTGTTCTGTCAAAAGCTGACGTTTAAAGACACATGGGGCGGATTCACAATCTTTTTTTTTTTTTATGAAACAACTCCACCGCTCTTCAGTTTTGTTCCAGAGCCAAAATAAGTCAGATCTATTATTTTATTGGGTTGAGTTAGTTGTTTACCTCATTGTAACCGAGCCAATCAGAGGTAGGAGAGTCAGGCTGATGTGATGTGTCCTCACAGACTCACCTGCGACCAGAGAGATCCACACACAGTTTGGGGTTGTTCCTGCTCCAGGTCCAGGTCCTGGTCCTGGTTGGAGGATCCGGGGGTCTTCCTGATGCGTCCTCCAACCCCCAGTGACCGCCATGCTGCAGGGCGGCGAGCAGACTGCGAGGACGCCGCAGAGCCAGGGAGGTGTCAGGTGACCCGGTCGGGTTACTGCTGGTCCCAGAGGGGAGGCAGGTGTGAGTTTACAGCATCCTCAGGTTTCAACACACATTCAGGCTCAAGCTGGGCTTCCAGCGGCATGCACTGTACATCAGCTCACCTGTAGCAGGTGAGTTAAAGAGGTTAGAGGGACAATCAACACGACACCGGGCCAGTGACGCCACGGAAACAAGGCGGGGCCCACAGGAAGTCCCGGTCCAGATCTACCAGACAAAAGACTGTTCTTTGTCCCTCATCCTGCAGGTTCACACACGACTGACCGTCCAGCTAGGGCAAAATTGATCTTAAAGTTGCACCACAGAGGGACAACGACTCAGATAAAACTAAAACTAACGACAGAAGTAACCCTCCTGTTTGTTTTTAAGGCCAGAGTCCCAACTCTAGTGGTCTTCCATCCATCTAACTGAAATTGCCATGAATGGTTCATCCCCTGCTCCTTTGAAACTCAGAAACCCGTCTCTGTCCACGTCTCTACTCTTAAGATGTCTGTCACTCTGACAAATTGCTTTTTTTTTTTTTTAAAAAGTTAAATTATCACCTAATATTAGTCTGGTTCTTCCAATCAAGGAGTTGTGCCATATTTTCCATTCAACAACCAACACAAACACACAGAACGCCCAGAGAGAAAAACGCACTCATAAAATCCAAAACTAACAGTAAACACAAGATGTACAAGACATTTTATAGAGATCTGAGTTTAACTTGCACAACTGTGGATGAGTGGAAACTTCATCACCCTTCTTGATAGAAACAAAAGCAAAACTTTGGACTCATGCAAACCACAAATGTCAAACTTTATATGAAGAAAGTAGTTTTGAAATGTTTGGTCAGTCAAAAACAGAGAAGTCTGAACGTTGGGAAGAGTTTTATTCATTTTTTTATTTAATTATTATAGCATTTAAGGAAAAACCCTGAGAGACAGAAGCTAAGAGGGTCGGCCATGATGAGAGCAGCTGTGGAGTCCAGTGGAGAGTTTTCAGTGTGTTTTGGGTGCGGTCGGCTACAGGTTTGGGTTCAAAGCTCCCGATCCTTCACATTCGATGATGTAAGTGACGTTGCTGCTTAGCTGGTCCTCACATTTAGTTATTGTGAACTTTGCCTGCACAAACAATGAGAGACGAGTCAGGGATACAGTCTCGGGTCCATTACGTTCATCCTTTGTTGTTTCCCTTTCATAGAAAGGGAGTGAAAGTGAGAAAGACCAAGAGTCTGCCAAAATCTACAAAGTCAAATAATTCTGGATGAAGGAGAATTTTCTCTTAAAAAGTAGCTATTTTTAACTTAAAAAGCCCCTTATTTTTTATTTCAAATTAATTCAAATACAAATGTTAAAGGGAAAACAAAAGGTAGCAGGACAGCAAAGGTTAGGCAGGATTTCGGATGATGTTTATGGAATATAAGCATAACTTCTACTCCAACTGGTTCAGTGAATCCTGCAAACACAGGAAGTTCTGACCTGAGTCAGCTGCTCTGCGATGTGAATGGCCGTTTGCGTGTGTAGTGTCACGGGGCCGGTTCGAATGCGAGACGTCCCCTTCGCCAGCGCCATGAAGATGATGAGCTGAGGAGGAAGGGGCGGTCAGTCAGGTCATGGTGAGGTCAGTGGACTTTTACCAGCAGGTGTGCTCGCCTCACCTGGTCCTGCAGAAACTCGTCCACGCAGCCGTTGTGCCGGATGTTTCTGAGCAGCATCTCAGCAGCTTCTATTCCAACTTTATCCGCATACACGCCTAGAAAAACACAGCAAGGTTTGCCCACCCCCCAAAGGATTAAATCTATGTTTTCTTCTTATTCAGGAGTTCATTGCAGCTGCAAATTCAAGAGAGATGCATATTTTATCACTGTCATTTATACGTTTTCTGTGAAAGAACAAATTTAATAATAAAATCTTCAAAACAGTCAAATAAAGGAGCATGTCTTTTACTTTTAAAGAACTTTGATTATATTATATTTGTGTAAATTTCTGTTGAGAAAGTTAAAAATGATGCTAAAGACATCAATTAATTCATGTAAAGATGCATTTAAAATCCTATTTTTGCAAGATGTGAAATCCAAGATGGCTACCACATAGTGAGATCAGTGATGTCACTACATGCAGATTAGTTTGAAATAATTCATCCCATTCATAAACTGTGTGTAACACTGAACAGTTTTCTCCACTTGCAGCATCATCGGACTGTTCTGGAGCATTTGAAATAAAAAGTTGTCTGCTGGAGCTTTGCTGCCACCTGCTGGTCAGGTCACCTCTTACCTTTCTTTCCCAGAGCTGAACCTGCAAACAGACAACCCGTGGACGACTCCGCAATGATTCTGAAACGCAGGTGGGGGAAGTACTATTTAGAAAGTTCAGCATCATTCAAACATCTCCATAAATAAACCGGTTAACTCTCAGGGTCCAGAAAGGAGCCCATCCAACCAGTGGGCAGGGCTTACATGATGCCGTTCCCATTCCCATATGCCTTTTCCTTCTCCTGCAGTGGCTGGATGTTGATGTAAAGTTCTTTGATTTCCTTCCTGATGGTTCGAACTGCTGCGGTCGACATGTCTTTAGCCAGCTGAGATCAATCAAAACACAAACCAGCAACTTTAGTAAACATCATCAACATTCCACATTATCACAAGATGCCCGGTTATACCCATCATACAAAAGAGTAAAAAGTAGTACTAACTGTAACAGAACGACATGGCTTCAAATAAAAAGAGAATGGTAGAGAATAGAATAATATTATTTCTTCACATGTGGGGCATTAAAATAGTCTTGTAGCTCATAATTGGACACAATTGTACATCAGAAAATTATTGGACCAGTGTTTCAAATAAAAAAATAAATAAAATAGAATGAAAAAAATATATTTTAAACATGTTAGTAGTCACTGTTTATAGGCTGATGGCTCTGGGGACTACGGTCCTCCTGGTGCTCTCAGCCCTGGAGTGCACTGGCTTGAATTGAAGCTCTGAGGCACCTTTAGATTATATTTGTTATCATTTGTTGATAAAGTTTTTATCACAAATTTTCATCTGAACAGCTCTCACATCTCTGATGGCAGCCAGAAGGCGAGGCCTCGCCGTGTGTTACCTTAAAGGGCAGGACGCCCGCCACAAACGCTCTGCCGTGGATCTTGGTGATGTTTCCTCTCTCCGTCATGGTGACGGGCTGGAGCTCTTTGACCGGATTCACTGTCACCATCACCTCACCCCCGCCTTTTGGGTAGTAACCCCTGAAGGAGGAACGAATGGCGTCAGCAAACAGTTGATGGCTAAAAAACCAACAGGTGTGGATGACCGAGAACTCACCTCAGTCTGACGTCACAGTCAAATTGAAGTCCGAACCTCTCCACTATTGGTTTAAAGACCTAAAAGGGAAAAGTGGTTGTTTATTGCGATTTATAAAATGTCTCTGCTTTCAACACAGTGAAGAAGTCAGTGAACACAACACAAAGAACAGACAGCTTGTGTCTTTCTCAGCTAACAAACTTATCTTCATTCAAATTTCTATGAAACCATCTCAGTCTCAGTGTTTCACTCTTGAAAAATGGCTTATGGCCCAAATGTTCTAAATAGAAGAAAAAAAATGTTTGTACCTGAAGGTACTGATTACAAGAGTAAAAATTGTATTAATCTCTCATTTGGGGACATTCAGATTGCCTGATTGTATTATACCTAATAAATAATAAATAAAAAATAGACAATCGTTTGAGTAAAACTTTTTTTTGCTTGTTCCCCCCCCCCCCCCCCCCCATCTCCTTTAACATATTTGAATCAAAGACCTTAAGGTCGGATTGGTTGCACAAGGCGTTCACTGAGCTTCCCCTGTGAATTCCGAGTACCTTGACAGTGTAGTCGATCTGAGGGGCCATCTCTGCGTTGGTGCCCCCCTTTAGGCAGAGCTGCGAGGCAGCATCGGCGTACAGCGTGCAGGGCAGAGCCACCTGCAGCAGCAGACACACACTCCTGCACACACACATCACAGACCAAGCGTCAGTGCGCTGAAAACTCTGCCCGTCGGCGGCTGAACGGCGGCTCACCCTGCCGTCTGCGTGTCGGCTGTGTGATTCCCAGATCGGATCTTCCCTGGTGTCAGGCTGATGTCGGTGGAGCCGATGGTGGCTCCCTGCAGGCTGCCCGAACACAGGTCCGAGACAAGCTGCAGGCCGCTCAGGTGCTGCGGTCTGAGCACAACAAACAAAAAAGCATCCCTAAAAACCATTTAAAAGCAAAATGGGAGGCAGAGCCTTCAGGTATCAGGCCCCTCTCAGTGGAACCAGCTGCCAGTTTGGGTTCAGGAGGCAGACCACTTCTCTACCTTTACGATCAGGCTGCAAACTTTCCTTTTTGGTTAAAAATCCCATATTTCTGCTGCTATAGGCTCCAACTGCTGGAGAAGCTCCCATGATGCATCTCGCCTCCTTCATGTACATGTGACATTATTGTTGTCATTAACTTGTGTTTTTACTTCTCTCAGCAGGTCTTATATTTGGACCTTTAAAGAGCACTTTTAGATGAGTAGCTGATGGTGGGAGCTTTAAAAACAAAGTGAAAACACATCCAGGGATCTTGACTTACTGACATCATCATTTACATTTTGTCTGATTCATGGCGGCTCGGGATTTTCTGGACTCAATGAGAACGTGCGGCATTGAGAATTAGGAATAATTAGGGAGTTTGGTTTAAAAGTTTTTAATTTTTCTAATGAAAATACTATCGCACCGAATTAAAATGGGTCAAGTTTTAGAGCTTCACGACCTAAAATACAATTCATGACTGAAGCTGCAGACCTTAATTCAGGGATATTTTGAGTGAGTCTGGTCCTGCGTCTGTTCCGCAAAGAATCATGCTAAAAGTTTCTCATCTACATCATCCATGCAAAATAAGCAGGTGTTACCCTCTAGAATGATCTGTTTTGCGTTGATACAATACGTTCCGTGTATACTTAACAGCATTTCGTTTTAGTTTTTAGAAATTGTGCTGAGTAACTAAGCCCATGACTCGACTTGAATGAATAGGCTAACGCTAGCGCCGCTAGCCGGCGGCTGCTAACTCACCTCAGCCCGGGTGTGCTCCTCCCGGCTCGGATTTTGGTGATTTTAATCGCGGAACCGGTGATGCAGCTGAGCGCCGCAGAGAGCCTCAGGATCTGCCCGCCCTACGGAGAACCGACAGCGGGGTTAAGAACCAGGCGACTCCGGTGTGTGTATGAAAGAGAGGGGAGCGTTAGCTTTCTGTTAGCATGTTAACGGCGCGGAACGCCGGCGGCTTTTCGGTGGTTTCTCCGCGGAATAAAGTGTGGCTACTCACGCCCTCCATCACGCTGCCGTCTATCTCCACCGCTGCGGAGTCCATCTTCCTGCACAGCACTCGGCCTGAACTTTTGCTTCGGATGCAGTAGCTCGGCTGAAACCTCCTTCGGGATACTCGGGACTCCCTCAAAACTCCCGGAGACCACTTCCGTTTCCTCTCTGCTCCCCTGTTGTTGTTGTTTTTTTTTTTGTTACTCAAACTCAGCTCAGTGTTATGTATAAAGGGACACAAACACAACAAACCTCACCTCCACGCCCTTTAAATATGCAATCCAACTGAAGTCAATTTAGGTGCAGTGATTCCTTTCCTAATTGGTCCAATTCATTCAGAGCCATTTGGAGAGTTTTCCCCTCTGAGGAAACCGGCAGGTTGCTCGGAAGCGTCTCCGGGCTTTGCGGGGAACTGGAAATAATTCCACTTTCTGTCACTTAAGTGAAAGAGATGGAGGTTGGTCCCTGCCTTGAATAACTCCTGGAAATGGAGAAATAACTCTGTGCTGCTACGAAAAGTACCAATTTGTTAACGTTTGGATGCTCTAACAAAGTCCTGATCTTAAAATGGACACTTTGAGATCACACACATCCATATTTAACCACTTTGTGGTCTGTGCCTCTTTTTTGAGCCCAAATCCTTCTCTTCTTCATTTTCAAGCTAAACTTTCAGAGAAAGATTTGGATTTCAGGAACTGTGTCCCACTGCATCTTCTCAAGATAACTATCAACATTCCCCATGTCCGATTCAGACTCCAGGAGTTCTCAAGAATAAAGTCATGTATTTTATGAAACAGGAATGTGTTTTTTCAGACACCTTCATATCTCTTCTGTATCCATGAGGTGGTGCTACAGCAGCTCAGATGACAAAAGGACAAACCTTTAACCTGACACACACACACACACACACACACACACACACATTCAGACAGTGTCACGCTCTGACAGCCTAACTAGTGACACACACACACACACACACACACACACACGTAGTGTTTCAAACACATGCGGGAAGGCACACCTTTGATTTCTCTTAAAGGCTTCTGGAAAGTTTTAAAATGTCAACAACAAGAAATAGGTGTGTGGTGAACAGTTCTGTGGAAGTCTGCAGTTGTTTTTCCGAATGGTTTAAACAGAATAACAGAACCATAAATAGGTTTGATCGGTAAAAGAAATTAGAAAAAGACAAATGGCATTAGAAAAATACGATTACAGTGCAGGTGCTCAGTGATTTATGACTTTTTTTCAAAGTGTGCTAGTTCTAACTTTAACCATAGTGTTTAGCGCCGTTGCCTCACAGCAAGATATTCTGGTGTCAAACCCTCGAAGAACTGCAAACCCTTACCCTAAACCACCAGGAAAACCAGGACGCAGTAATCACCAAAACCAGAGAGAGTAGCAGAAAAACAGCCAGGCCCTCACCTCAACTTTAAAAAGGCCTTTTTCTTTCTCGTGGATAGAGTGTTTTTCTTTTCAAATTGTTACGAGTCAGCTGTACACAACTTTACTCGACTCTATCAACTGAAATATGTAGTTTCTTTTACTTTTTGCATCACTTAATGGTGAAACACTACATCAGTGTAGTAAATGGTAAATACACCAAAAATATTTTTGTTAAAGTGTCAAAAAAAGGGCTTGAGAGTAAAAAGGTTTGATATTCCTCTCTATTTTTTTTTTTGTCAGTAGCCCAATGAGGCTTTGGTGATGCACACAGTGTGGTTCATTCCTGAGCTCTGACTCTTTTCTGGAATGGAAACATTTTGTCGAGAAGTGGTACCACCTCAACTTTGTGACACAGGTGTCTTTCAGAGAATCAGAGGCGTCTGGAAATTTATAAAGTTTCTTTTGCTGCAGTTGTGCAATTTCTGGAGGGGCCTTCTGCATTTTGTGCACAGGAAATGGTTTAAGCTCTGCAGCCCAGCACATAAGTGCTGCCTGCAACAGTCATGCAGGACAGCCTCAGAATCACACAAAGTTATGCAAAAAAAGATAAATAGGGATAGCAGCAAAGGGACAAAGACGAATACAAACAAAGTAAAGCTGTTTGTTTGGCAGAGTGTTGGCGGAGGGGATGAAAGAGATTGTATCTGTTGGTCCTGCTAGATAGCAGGAAGTCCTGAGCTAAAGGCTGGCTGTGATCTGTCAGGATAGAACTGGACTTGCAAAGGACTCTGGTTCCCTACCTACCTACCTACCTACCTACCTACCTACCTACCTACCTACCTACCTACCTACCTACCTACCTACCTACCTACCTACCTACCTACCTACCTACCTACCTACCTACCTACCTACCTACCTACCTACCTACCTACCTACCTACCTACCTCTACACATTGAAAAAAGCTCAAGAAACCTTTGGAAAACGAGTCTCCGACGTCCACATCTTTGTGTCAGATGTGCTGAGATTGAACTCCTCTAAGATCTGTGGATGTTTCAGATTAAGATGACTCGTGCCTTATGGGTTGAGAGGAGGAGTTATTTTTTACGACTGTAAAAGAAACCTGCGTGTGTCTGATCTGCGGGGCAACTGTGGTGACGGCAAAGCGGCACAATGTGGAGAGACACTTCACTTTGTGCCACAAAAGCTAGCATGCTAACTAGCCACCGGGAAGCACACTACGGGCTGAAAAAGCACATCTGAAATATGCCCTCATAGTTGCAGTGTCAAGTTACACCAGATTACAATGCACTGGTGAACAGCATGCAATGCCAATCTGTTAAAGATTTGGTCATGAGATTTCAGATTTCTTTTTAATATGTGAGTTGATTTTTCTTTAACATTAGATAATTGATAACTTTTTGAAACATGGTGCAACATAGTTCATGATTTGTTAAAAGGTTTTGTCAGTGGCTAGTGAAAATGAGTGAAATTGAAAACCCCTATGTAAATGTAGTGAAGTAGAGTAAGTGATCATCTGAAAATTTAACAGTTGCTGAGATAAACAGACATAAAGTGGGGGATATTGATATGTTTCCCATTTTGTTGTCACTGTTGTCACAGATGAGTATCATTAATGATTATTAATAAAGTATAGTTAAAAGCATATTGAGCAAATGTATCATTTCAGAAGTGTGTATCAAACTGGTAGCCCTTCGTGTGACTCAGTACCCATGAAGTAGCCCTCCGTTTAAAAAAGGTTGGTGACCCCTGCCCTAGGGGCTGCTATAGATCACACCAAAACATCCATTTCCAATCCCCTAACACCTGGAAAGAAGATTAAAACATTTCAGACAGTTTAAGGGGGCAAATATCCCATTTCATAATTGAGAGGAACATTTTTGAGTAATCTCTCTCTTCTCTGCTCCTTTAAGCCTGGGAAAGGTACACCTTTATGATCCCATCCAACTAAGAAATGACAACCCGCCTTTTTAAAAGGCGTGACGCCTTTCCATGCCCCCGGTGTGAGGGTTGGAAATCGTTTCAGTGTGCTGCTGGGGACACAGTTGGAAGGATGGTCCTGTTGTTTGTCTGTAAGTATTTCTACTCCTACTCAGATGTGCATCGCCATCTTACTATCTGTCAGATGTTTAGGAGATAAACTAACTCCGGAGGGCGTAGCAGAACTCAGACCAGCGGTGGAGCTTTCTTTTTAAAGCGTAAACACTTGGTAGAACAACTTTTCTGACTGCAGTAAAGTTAGCAACATATTCACAGATTCGAGCTTCCCGCGTCAATAACTCGAACTACAACCTCATTTTTATCTAAATAAGCCGTCCTCTGCGCTGCTCCGACAACATTGATCTCTATGGACACTCGGCGTTGAGACGAGTGCCCAGGGACCATCAACACATTTCAATAACGAAAAATTATAGCACAAAAGAAAATCAATAACTAAACTCTCATATATTGTAGCCTCACCAAAATCGCTGTACACATCATTCAAACCCTCCTGGTGATACTACAACTTTTGTTATATAAAGAAGAAACTTTTCAATATTTTTATTAATATTTTTTGGAATAAATGATCAATAACTAAACAATTGTGAACTGTAGCCTCGCCAAAATCACTGTGTACATCATTTACATCCTCCTGGCGATACTACAACCGTTATTTAATCCATAAAATCATTTTTCATATTTTTTATGAATATCTTTGGGGATCCATAATCAATAACGCTAATATTATGAATGGTAGACTCACCAAAATCACTATGTACATCATTCGTATCCTCCTGTTGATACTACAACTCTTAGTTAAACCATAAAATCATTTTTCATATTTTTTATGAATATTTATTTGGAAAAAAATCTATAACGCAAATATTATTAAAGGTAGACTCACCAAAATCACTCTGTACACCATTCACATCCTCCTGTTTATACTACAACTCTTATTTAATCTATAAAATCATTTTTCATATTTTTTATGAATATTTATTGTGATTCATAAGTGTCCATAGAGATCAATGTTGTCGGAGCAGCGCAGAGGACGGCTTATTTAGATAAAAATGAGGTTGTAGTTCGTTGTGTGAGCTACTACAGTTGTAAAGAGGCATTGGCTGTGTTTTAAAAATGTCCCAATTACAAGTTATTGACGCGGGAAGCGCGAATCTGTGAATATGTTGCTAACTTTTCTGTGCGCTATGATAATGCGGCGTGCGTCACGAGACGATCGCGCTGACTCCCGTTTCCGGAGATGAACCGCGAGAAACGGCCGGGCATACATGGGACACTTTAACGAGCGAAAAGCAAACACAAAGAGAAGATATGAAGAAATAATTAGAATAAAAGAAAAGCGCGGGAAGGTAAAATTTGTTTTCGCCACATTGGGGGGCTTTCCGAAAACCTGAGCATCCATCCTGCTGCAGGAAGGAAGCTGCTTCCAGACTACTACATTACCACTTCAGTCACTTAATTTAGTTGTTTTAGATGAGCTGAACCAGCTCTCCTTTTCTCCATGGCTTTTATAGTTAGTTATAGGTATAGTTAACTAAAGCTTTTGCTTCAGGATTGCAGTGTTTTGGTTTGAACCTGGATATTTTTTTAATGAAAGTGGAGATGTCTGTTAGCCAGATCTGTTGGGAAGAGCGCAGAGGAACCGATTTATTGGATTTAAAAGCACAGATTTTTTAAAAAACAAAACAAACAACAACAATGCAATTCAGCTTGGAGGTTTAGGTTCACTTTCATCTGAGTTATGCTCTTATCACCAGAGAGTTTTAGACCATCAGAGCCCCGCTTTTGACCCCGCCTGACCCCATCAAACATTCAGACCCTCCTGTTGAACTCAAGTGGGTTCCTGTTGTTGTTGTTGTTTCAGATGTGGTGGCTCTGATGTCAGTCTGTGGGCTTCCAGGTGCAGCATCTCTGCACTGCAACGTCACACGGCTCTCAGACGGTGCGTTCAGGTACCAGCTGTCCGACTCGCCCCCCGCCCAGAGCTGCTCCACCTCATGGGAGGACACGGATGTAAGTTCCCCTCAGACACGCCAATATCTGCCCCCAGGAGCGGAAAGAAGGTCTTTAGATCATAAAAATTGCCAGTGTCTGGTTTTCAGCTATTTTAATCCGGACAAAAGACCCAAAGCAACTTCAACCAGGATCCCAGGTTAAAGTCTGCTGGGCTTTAGATTAATTTATGTCTCTATTCACGTTTGGGTGAAAATCCTCCACTCACTGCTGATTTAGTCAAACAACCTCCAAAAGATATATTTTTACTCCACTTTGTGCAAAAAATGTGCAGAAATCCCTTCACATTTTTCTTGCTATATTGACTGTGTGTCTGTTTTTAGGGGATTGTAATCAGCAGGGACTCGGCCTTTAACCAAAGCCTCACCGTGAACCTAACGCAGCTTTACATCGACCTCAAAGTCTGCCAAGACCATCTGCGCTACACACTGGAATGTTCTGGGGTAAAACTGCCCGTTTTGACCAACTTCCACCCAAAAAATGTTAAAAAAATAAGCTTTAAGTATATGAACAGAGGTGATTGTTAAAGCTCAAACAGGCTGGAAGAACTGAATCCTGATTCTTTACTTGTAATTCCCTGAAGATGGACAGCTTTTTAAGTTTTCTCTGGTAGATGTACAACGTCTGATCCCAGAGTCTTAGTAGACTTTAACGGATCAGTGCTGCATGAATTTCTCCAGTTATCAGTCGTGTTCGGTAGTTTTAGGACCTAACGACGAAGAAAAACTTGTTCCCAAAGACACAGTTAATGCATTGTGTTTAGTGTCACACATACCTTCCATCAGGAGGGATACGGTTGTGTAAAACCAACAGGCAGAGAGTTGAAAACCGAAGCTGGACTGAGTCATTCATCACTTAATGAGCAACTATTTCTTCTCGGAGTTTGACACGTCTTTTCAAGCGGAGGACAGAGGATGAAAGAATGAACGGATTTGTCCGAAACTATGATTCACGTTTGAGGGAATGAGTTTTTATCCCTCATTTTAGCGCTGAGGGAACCTGACAAACATTCCACAGTTTGTGCTCACAAGAGGAGGTAAAAATGTCACAATTGCAACACAGATATTGCCCTCTTTTAAACGCCTGTGTCAGCAAAAAAACATGCCCAGACATGTCAGGAGGCAAACGCTCTGTATGGATGGCTTTCTCTTGTATGTTGGTGCCTCTGTTGGCCTATTTTCTGTGTCTCTGTGCTTCTTCTGAGGAGAATTAACAAGTTTTGGGGCATTAATTCAGCTCTCTTTTCCCCCCTCTGCTTCCTTTCAGATCAGGACGGAAACAGACTGCAGAGGTGAGGGCTGCACAGCTTTAATAGAAAGAGAGGTTTCTGTGGCAGAAGCTCCTAGAAATAATGAGACGGGACATCTGAAGGATTAACACTAAACAACCTGTTTGAATTCTCTTTTTGCAGTGAACTGCAGCCATTTTGCTCAGAAGGATCCACCATCTTCAAGTAAGTGCTCACACTTCCGGGTG